GACCATCGATATCAGCGACCGAACTAGCAGACGACATATTGGAATCACACGATCAGGTGACGAGTGACGTCCTCCCCGGGCCCTAGTTGATGTACTAGTCTCCCCAGGGAACTAGTAATTTCCCTGGTGCTACTATGGTAATTTAGCCGATAACACGTGATCCTGTCTTGACCAATTACAGTACAGTATTAACGAGTGATGTGTTATAAAATAAAATAGTACATACTGTTTTTGTTTAGGAGAGCGGATGAGTGCGATGTACGTTAGGAGTCTATTCCATGTTATAAAATAATAAGCCATGGTCATTCGGGCAATATCATGAACATGTGATATTATTTAATAATGACAAAAATACTGTTTGCCAGCTATATAGTTATATATGTTCATTTCTCATTTGCCGCAAAATACGTATTATTTGGTTATGGATAACTATGTTACATTTCGGATATCCAATCACAAAAATTACGTGCTGTTAGCAATCTTTCCGGGTGCAGTAAAAGAATAAGTTTACTTTCGTTTAAAAAACGATAATGCCGTTTTTGCATAGAGTATGTTTTTCTTGGGTTACATAGATATACTAGAATAACAAGTCATCTGAAGATGACACAGTCCCCACTTGTCAGATGTGATTATGGCCATGAATTATGAAGTTTGAATGTATATGTATAAATCGGGTAGGAAGATTAAGTTGAAACATTACAAGGCACATACCCTATATCGACATATCAAATAAGTCTATACCAAGTATGGTCTTATTTGGACTAATAATTCACAAGATATTAACAAAAATTAAAAATTTATTAAATATGCAAATGAGTTTATTAATCGATACCTTGAAAAAATAAATCAATGTGCATCTGTACCAGTGGTCACTCTGTCTTTGTACCAAGTCTCAGCACAATCGGTCCAGGCATCTCCGAGAAATAATGATGGACACACCCACAAAACTGGATTTTACAGGATTTTGACATTCAAAATGGCCACCAGGCAGCCATATTTGATCAAATCAGGAAATAAATTCATGTGAATATGTATACCTCTTCACTGTGTATTTGTACCTAGTATCATTGAAATCAGTCAAGGCATCTCTGAGAAATACCAATGGACAGACAAAAGCCATGATTCACAATCAAAATGGCTGCCAGTCGGCCATATTTGATCATTTAAAGATCAAAAAAGTAAAACGTGCATCTGTATGGGTGGTCATTTTGTCTTTGTAACAAGTCTCAACAAAATCGGTCAAGGACCGAATTTGACTGAATTTTGGCATTAATAATGGCCGCCAGTCGACCATATTTGATCGAATTGGAAAATAAATTGACGTGCACATGTATAGTTGACCACTCTGTCTTTGTGTCAAGTTTCAAAAAAATTTGTCCAGCCATCTCCGAGAAATCACTCCGAACGGACTGGCGGAGGCAAAACTACAAGCCTCCTCCCGGACATTGTCCGGGTGGGGGCTAAAAATACTAGGGTCCATAATAAAAACAATTATTTCCCATCCATAAAACACCTAGTTATTTCATAAACACGAATAAAAGTGAATGTCATGTATAAAATTTGTATTGTGTATATTTAGTCTTATTGCTAATGATTACATTCTATATAATAAAATAATGTTTTTTTGTTTAGTATTGTGGCTAAGTAAAATATGGCGCTCTAAATGTAAACGCTAATTCGATTTAGTGATAGGTATGGTATGAATTATATTGACGTATGAATTTTCAAGGCTCGGAAAATTCTCGGACTGTAACAACATGGATTAAATGTAGCTGCACACGCTCTACTTCTACACGGTGGTATGTTTCTAATGTCTACGAGTCTTTCAGTGTTCTTTTACATTGGTAAATTTTAAATTTGTTTTTGCTTGATTTAGTAAAAGTTTTTATTCACAACAATTCTGAACACTTGAACCATCATTTGCCGAACAGAAAACCAGCACTAAACTGTGCAGTGCTCTGGGTAAACTAGGGCCTATATAGAGCACAACACGACGACGCATTTCCGGTAACAAGAACAATTTAATATAACCCATATAAATATGCGATACACAAGTTATCAAATTACCTTGACGAAATAACTACGAAATAAGTACTGAACGTTGTTATGCAAATTCAACGTCACGGCTCGTCACGGAGGTACATTATAGAGATTACGGACCGACCTATCGATTTAGATGTGGTGTTCGATGATGTGTTCTCGATAACCGTTTTATCATATGACCATGGCAGATATCACCGTAACACTGAGCTCAGCGTTCTCATACCCTGCCATATCGGCAGTGATATTCCGTGTTAAACGTAACGTAATGGTAAAATACTTGCCATGGTCATATGGTAATATAATATATTGACATGCGATTAGGGTCTGTGAAAAAGTATACACATTAGAAATGAAACAAAATACCAAACGTTGTAATAACATTCTTACGACATCACCCAATGGATTCATATAGTAACACAAATATTATTCATAACCTTTATTCCTGTGGATCACCGCACAGATATGGTTTATTCTACTAATATTTCCAATACAGTGATCAAGGAATGCCTTTCCATCCAAACACCTCCACTTCACACATATGTAAATAGTTTCTATGATCTTTCAGTTGTACGGCAACATAACGTCCGTTTAGCTGACAATCAAATGTGATTTTCTCTCTATATGTGTTTGCGTTCCAGTCTATTTGATCTCCACATTGGTCATTTTGGCTTATATCAGAGCTGCTACCAATTGACACAACAGCACCGTCAATTCTATTAGCTGAAATATTGAATATGCATTTTATTAGAAATATTGGGTGTATTGAGGGATATTGAATCCCATTGGGGCCGGGTGATGCATGGCATAAATTCAATAAACTATAATGAAATGAACAACTCAAAGTCTGCGTTATTCAAACTTCATATCATGATCACCATTTTTATAACAAAAAGCAATTGCATTTATGAACACATTGTCCTAATTCAAGAAAGTTGGCATATGATATATTATATTTTTTTATTCAAATTGTTTATTTCAAACAACTTACAATGAATAAAATCTGAGATAATATTAATGCGTTCCGTGTATTATTGTTTAAATGGTATATACTTACAACAACAATCTTGCCGATTTGTTATTACCACTTGAGATATAGAGTATGTTTCTCCCAAATCTAGTTTCCACCAAGCGCCCATTTCCTCTGCAGTGTGGGTGCAAATATTACTATATCTGGTATCATCATTTCCATCAATAGCGTACCCAGCATGTCGATCATTAGTAGTGCTGCTTTGGCTTGCTGTTCCTTTTAGTGCAATATTTTCTATTTAAGTAAAACATAGTATAGAATTGGTTAGATCTTTTAAGAACGTCATATTTTTCAAACATGCGTCTTTTCATGTTTGTGCTATTCGTCAAACTACAGCTCTTTTTCTATAGTTAATTCAATACCACAAAAATATCAGTTGGGTGATCAAAACTATAAACTGTTCTCAATTCGTGAACACATACATATATCCTCTGTAATGTTACATACACGGTAATGATGTGAGGTATGCAGTTTTTTTCTCTCTCATTTCTATTTGTAAAAAAACTGATGTTTTTAAGACTGCAAACAATAAAACACTCAGAGTGCAAGATATATAGATATATATATATATATATGAATCAATATCAAAGTGCATTTAATACTGTTTGCTGTATAGTGTACATAGTTATTATAGTTGATATACTAATACTGTGTAATCATATAGTTTATGTGCAACATTGTTCAGGTAAGAACTATGTGTACATACAGCAACGGATTGCTTCTAAATAAAAAGACTGATATGAGTTCTGAAAATTAAGTGACTAAAAACACCAACCGGTATATTGACAAATGTAAGCCTTTT